CGTTGCAATGGCGGGAACGCTGGATAGATGTATTGATATGGCTGTACCGTTTAGATCGGGCGGTGGCCCACGCCTCCAAGCCGTACTTAGTGAACAAAAAACTATATTTATTTTTTCCATTAAATAGTGAGGTTGAGGACTCGTACGTTGCAGTGAAGGGTTTCATTTTCACTCGTGCCTCGACTTTAGCCACCAATCAGATAACCTCCTTCTAGTTAATTCTACCCGCTTAATGTCTGTTTTACCCTCCCTGTCCCTAAACCCTAGTGCTTTGAAAAACTCTGCGCCATCATCCTGAACTATAGGGTGAAGCCCTTTACAGAACATCATCAAGTGTTCAGCAGTTTCCTCTTCCTCTCCATACGCACTGCATACTTTGTCTACCGGATGGATGGATGGATGGATGGATATAGCTGTACCCTTTAGATCCGGCGGTGGCTAGCGCCACCAAGCCGTAATACTTAATGAACCAAAACCTAGATTTTTTTCCCTTTAAATAGTGAGGTTGAGGATTCGTACTTTGCATTGAAGGGTTTAATTTTCACTCGTGCCTTGACTTTAGCCACCAATCAGATAACCTCCTTCTAGTTAATTCTACCCGCTTAATGTCTATTTTACCCTCCCTGTCCCTAAACCCCAGTGCTTTGAAAAACTCTGCGCCATCATCCTGAACTATAGGATGAAGCGCTTTACAGCACATTATCAAGTGTTCAGCAGTTTCTTCTTCCTCTTCACACGCACTGCATACCGTGTCTACCCCTTCGTATTTGGCCCGATATGTCTTGGTTCGCAATACTCCCGTACTGGCCTCTAACAGTATCTAACTACCCCGAGTATTATCATAGATCCTTTCCTTGGCAATTTCGTGCTTAAAAGTCCGATAGATCTCTAGTGCGGACTTCTTATTGATGCCAATTCTCCACATATCGGTCTCAGCTTCCTTCATCTTCTTCTTAACCAATAACTCTTTTTGGTTTGTCCCCCTGCGGTTTTCTAAGTATTTACCAGTCAATTTTCTGGTTCGCTTCCTCCATTTTGTATCGAAATTCTTCATGTATAAGTAGCTGAAAACCTTCCTAGCCCAACGCTCTTCCCCCATTTCTCTCAATCGCTTCTCAAATTTTATCTTGCTGCTAGCTTCCCTGCCCTCAAATGATGTCCAACCCATATAACCTTGTACTCGCTGATTTGGTGTATTCCCGTGAGCTCCTAAGGCAAGCCTACCTATTCCACGTTGCTTAATTTCTAATCTTGCTTGAACTTCTGATCTCATGCACAAGACCGCATTGCCGAACGTCAGCCCAGAAACCATGACCGCTTTCCACATTCCTCTCACAACATCATACCTATTGTAATTCCACAGTGCCCTGTTTTTCATTACCGCTGCATTCCTGTTACCTTCAGTCGTCACGTATCTTTCGTGTTCCCTTAGACACTCGGCCCCATTGCTTATCCATACGCCCAGATATTTGTATTTTCTGCTATCTCTACCGTGACCTCCTGTATTCTAAGCTCACTACCTTCATTGTCATTAAAAATCATGACTGCTGATTTTTCTTTGCTGAATCTGAAATATCACCTATCTCCCTCATTACCGCAGATGTCCACCAATCTCTGCAAATCTTCCTTGTTGTCGGTCATTAGCACTATATCATCTGCATACATCAATGCTGGTAGTGCCTGTTCAATGAGTCTTTCTTGCTTGACAAAAGAAAGGTTGAAGCCCCGTCCACTTCCCTCTAATTTAGCTTCTAATCCTTGTCGGTACATCATGAATAATAAGGGTGACAGGGGACACCGCTGACTAAGCCCCCGTTTTACCTCTGGAGGCTTGGATACCTGTTTTTCCCACTTTATAACTATCTTGTTACCTTTATAAATATCCTTTAAAAGATTAGTGACTACATCTTTCACGCCTAGTGTGTCTAGTATTCCCCACAAGTCCTCTTGAACCACGCTCCCTTGATACCCAAAAATGCTAGCCACAGGGGCATGTGTTCCTTTTCTGCTATTTCAATGCACTGCGTCAGTGAGAACAGATTGTCTTCCAACCTCCTGTGTTTCTGAAACCCATTCTGCAGTTCCCCCAGCACCCCCTCATCCTCTTTCCACGCCTGCAGTCTTTCCTTTATAATCTGCATCGCCAGCCTGTAGACCACTGATATCACTGTTATATGACGGTAGTTGTTTATGTCAGCTTTGTCCCCCTTCCCTTTATAGATCATGCTCATCCTGCTGAGTTTCCATCCATCGGGGACTTCACCATCGATTATTATTTTGCTTACTGCCTCTCTCAAGGCCTGCTTAGACATCGGACCAAATGTCTTAATCAGCATAATTGGAATGTCATCTGGGCCTGTTGATGTACTACTAGGAACCCTCTTCTCTGCCATTTCCCACTATCGTTGTGAAGATGGAGCCACTGCGCCACTTGATTCATCCTTGTCTATTGTGGTGCATAAAGCAATTCGTTGTTGAAATTTTTCTGTCACCCTTGTTCTTATATATTCAATAGCTTCGTCCCCTTCATGCCAAGCACCTTGAGCTGTAGTTATAAACCTCTGCTCTAGACTCGTCTCATTTCTTAGGGAGTTTAGATGGTTCCAAAATTTCGCAGCTGCCTTTCCATCTATTGAGCTTCCTTTCTTCTAATCTTTTCATTGATGAGAAGGGATGCACCCCTTCCACAGCTTAGAAAGATTTTCCATTTTCTTTCAACATCATCTGTCAGTTCAGCCCACTGCTTAGCATGTCTGTGTTCCCTAGAGGCTTCCCGACGTTTTGCTATGGCTCTCTTAACTTCCTCATCCCACCAACTCTTGGGTTTGAGTCTTTTTTTTCGGGGTGACTTGTCGCGTGCCTTAGCAAGCTCTAGCTCAAACAGTCTAACTAGATTCGTGTATGTCCACACTGTTTTATTACCCTCAGTGATTACTTTCTCAATTTGTTTAGTAGCTATTTCTATTTGCCTTTCTGAATAAAAAATTTTCCTGTAGTTGCTCATCTTGTCTCCTTTCCACTTTCACTGCTCTTCCAAAACTTAGCTTGATACGTTTGTGGTCACTACCCAGACTTTTGGAGCCACCTTCATCTATGTGCATTCCCCTGAGCTTATCATACATCCTATGTGACAACAGTGCGTAATCTATCGTCGACTGCAGCCTTCCTACCTCCCATGTTACTTGCCCTTCACACTTCTCGATACTGTTGCAAATGATCAAATCAACGCGTTCACCGGGGCCAACGCCCTCTTTCGGCGAGTTTCTCTAGCGGCACTTTGGCTGCGATCTCTGCAACCATCTGCAGCTGCACGTTTCAGCTTCGCAGGTTAACCATCCGCGCGGATTCCAAGTACTTGGGCGGCGTACTAATTTCTTCTTTGCATTAGTACATTACTCTTTCAATATACAAATATTTTGCTTGCCGCGAAAAAACACTTAAGATAGAACACGCAAAAGGAGGATGCGGGTGGCGACGCCGCCCTGAGGTTCCCACACCAAACATAGTGACATCATGAATTTTTACGGTGCGTATACGTGCTACGTAGTTGAATAACCAGTAAAAATAAAACACGTTGTCCCTTGGGGGACGGGCATATACGTGATATAACAGGTTCAAGGTAACTTGTTAAAGCCAACGCTCGCCAAAAATACAAAAAATTCCCTATGTAATGCAAGACGTCAGGTGCGGTGACAGGCACAAAATTCAAGGAAATTTTTACCTTAATTTTATACGTTATGTAACCTACGATGGTGAAACTAACACCATTCAGGTTCTCAGAATGCAATTTATCAATCTATCAGTTTGTTTTTTTCCTCTTTAGTGAGACTTTGAAGCGCACGACGGAGCTTAGTAACTCGGCTTGTTCTTGACAGATTTGGGAAATTTTTGCGGCGATTGATTCATGACAGAGGGGGGGGGCACGTCAACCCTACAGGGGTGGGGCGCTACAATAAACCATCACCCCTACTCCTCCATGAAGGGGAACCCTGCACTCACCTACATTCATGAAAATGAGGCAGTAAACTCGCACCGAGTTTATTCGAATGTAACTCTGAAAGGTGGTACGGGACTCCACAAGGGCAATTTAACTGCCAGGATAATTATAGAAAATCGAGTTGCAGACGGTTTTCTTGCGAGAAGCTGGCATCGCAGCGGCGCCTGGCGGAGCAGATCCCAACCAGGCACGCGGCCTCAGAGATACGCCACAGCAGCGAGACAACTCGCAAAATTAACCCGAGGAATGCACTACGACTGACCAACGCCCAAATGCGAGTGTTAACATTAAATGTTTACAGACTAGTTCTCATTGAGGTGAGCGTGGTCGCCATCATGGCGTACCAGCTGGTCGAGATGCTGCATGAACTCTGCCAAGGAACAAGAAACGTTCGCATCAGATTAGTGCCGGTGTCCCCTCGCGTTCCCATGTTCACCCTGGGCGCAGCTGGCGAACAGAACGCGGGGACCAAATGAATGGCTGTACTTTTGTGCATTGGCACACTCTAATGAGATTAAAAATCACAGTGGCTGCCATGTTGACGTACCAAGCACAGAGAACCTGTTTCTCACATCATGTGAACACTGCGTATAAGAAATAATTGTTTGGGTTTTACATCTCAAAATCACAGTCAGGTTAGTATGGGCACCATAGTGGAGGGCTTAGAAAAATTTGACCATATCGTTGCACACTTAAATCTAAGTACACAGGTGTCCAGCATTTAGCCTGCAATGAAATGCGTTAGAGCGCCCAAAAGTGTTGAAAATTAGGCGAGTTAAGGTTTCTCGTTGTTAACTGGGTCAGCGTATAATGCAAAAGAACAAACGTTGAGCCAGCCCACACAGCAGGGACAGAGTGCTTTAATAAGAACAGTGCACAAAAAGCGCTCTGTCCTCTAGTCTTTTATCCGGCATATTGTCGACAAGTAGTTAAGCACATCGCATTCACTCTCAAGCGAGGTCCTACGATGCGCGTGTACACGCTAGGATGGGCCACAGACATATGTACAGACCATGCTTTATTGGCTTGAGGAAATGGACACGGCATACTTAGGTACACTTGGTGCATTGCATGATCTAGAACATTTTGAAATTTAAAAAAAAAAAAGGATTGAATAGCTTAAATGATTCACAACGTATGGCTAATGCCAGTCCTGCCCCATTCACTTGTGCTTGCAGGAAGGCAGGGACAACGCACTGGCGAGCAAAAACCAGGCTCATTGCTAATGAATTATGCGTCCAAAAATGATAAATTAAGAATGATAAACTCTGTTGCACCACTTCTTACACAAGATGGAAAAGGTGGTTCTGATTTTGCTGCGGATGGTAACGAGTGTAGTGTTACAACGGAAGGAAGTCTGCGTAGACCAGTTACCACAGATAAGGAATCCGCTGAGAATCTAGAAGGCTTCTTGTTCACCGAGCCGTAACAATACGATTGCTTACACAACTGATCCTCGCACTGGTTTTTCTTTAAAACACTGAGACGCGGCTACGCGTGGTTGGAAAGCAGCAGTATTACTGAATGTTGAAACTATTACGTCTGGGCGGAGCTGTAAAGAAGTGGTCTTATAACTCTTACAGAGGCTCGCATTTAACCACCTTTGACAATCTCCACTTAATATAAAAGCCAGTGGAGACAATGATGAATGCAGTCTCGCATGTGCCCTGCAGTCTTATCCCCATATTTCTCTGAGATCGCTTTCGGGGATAGCATGGGAACTACAAGTTGATGGGAGACTTTCGAAAACACAGTTGAACACCTTTACAAGAGACATGCAGAGGGGAGCGATTCCCATCTTTTGTAATCCAGTACCACTAACAAGTTTTCTAATTAACTCGTTATTCAGGGCACACATACTGGTGCCTCTTGCACCCATTTCTCTCTTACACTAGTGCCTCTTATAGAGCGGTTCGACTGCATTTCGAAACAGAAAAAGCTGGGCCAGAAATGAAGAATTAAAATAAAGGAATTCATTTACCCAAAATGACGAAAACCACATTTTTAAATGAAGCGATGACAAAAGCTTTTGGATCACAGGTACATAAAAAAAAATGACTGTGCATCTACGTTGACACTAAAATAAACAAGACAAAACATGCACACAAAAGAAAAAAAAGGCACACAATACGATTACTTGCTAAAACAAGGCTTACAATTTTATACCATCCAGAAAGCACAGTTGCAGCAACCATGACACCTATGACATCGTGTGGCCTTTGAATTGTATGAATGAAACAATCAACTTGGAGACAAGACTTCCTCCGTTTACAAAAAATACAAAAAAAAAAAAACATTCGCGACCACGCGCACACTCAACAGTAAAAAATTTAAGGGCACTATAAAGTGACGGATGCGAATGTGAACTTTAGCAGGCTCTGGCTGCCTTACGCATTTCGTTCGAACTCCTAGAGCACCCCAGCGTGATGTTTCTATCTGCGGCTTGACGCCATAACGCCCTTTCGGTTAATGCGCATTGCTTTCCATTCGCAACATCCTTAAACTCGCATTCTCCCAACCCTCGTAGCTGGTTACCGCCTGTCGTTCGGCCTTCTTGAACGTTATGATCCAAAATGCGCAAGTGAGCCCTAATTGAAACGCAAAAGTATGCATAAACACTAAGAACGCCAAGACAGAACAGAAACAAGTAAAAACACGCATAACCATGGTCACGCATATTTTTGTATTTCAGTAAGCCTGTACCAACACCAACAAGCCCAGCAAGTGAGACTTAGCGGTGCCTCATCATCAACAACTAAAGAAAAAATAATGAGACTTCGCATTCCAGAAACAAGTTCATTTTTAATCCATGACAACAGTTCTGACCACGGCTTGATGCTGTGTTATTCGATTCACGCAGAAAATCTAAAACGTCAATAATTACTCTTCCTCTTAAGTGCCAAGCCTGACTCATTCGCCACACATTCCACCAACAAACTATACTCGTGAACTTGTAAGACACATACCGGCAGACCTCGTTCCCAAGAAAGAACGGCGCGCTGCCCAAGCAGCACACAGCAATCGAACGACGAGCGAGCGCTGCCGATGCCACACTGTCCTTTACTTCCCTTCCACCTGTTAAAACACACCAAGCGAGACTGCAAGCAAAACCGTCACAACCGTCACACCACAAGCTACAAATGCCGTCGTCAACGAAAGCTTCCGTTACATAACCAAGTCCGAAGAGAGATGCCGGTGAGGAGGTAAATCCTCGCACATCCCCCTACGCATTTGGGTGAGGACAGACGCCTATATCTGCTACAATAACCGCGAGCCAACAACAGCCGAGCACTTCCTCAGAAAAAAGTCACGGCCAAGAGGGGATGCGGCATACGTGGAAGAACGCGCCGCCTGTCCGTATGCAATCATTTGTGCCCGCTAACAGGTACCACCCATCCGTATGCAATCATTTGTGCCCGCTAACAGGTACAAGTATGAAAGAAGCCACACAACATGGGCACATCGAAGAGGGTGGGAAGAAGAAAAAATTGCGCGTATATAAATAACATTTTAAAACGTCCTCGCCTCCCCTACAAAAGCCCCCAATGCATCCGCCTGAATATTCAGCCCCTCCTGCTAGAGGGAACAGACCGAAGGAAAAGAAAAAAATAAGGCATGTAGGGGCCAGAGGGAGAGGGCATCTGGCTCAACATCAATGCAGTTGCATCCGGGGCAGGCTTTTTTCAGCGAGCTTCGTCGCTTGCTCCACGATCGAAGCAACCGGCGGCAACCACTTCAGAGGTGTAGGGGTGTGGACCCAGGGCTGGACTTCAGCTTCTTACGCGAACCCCGGGAGGAGTTGTCCGTGTCGTCAGAGCTCTCGGAGCCGGAGCCACCGTCGAAAGCGGAGATGGAGTCCCCCTTGATGTTCATTGCGTCGAGCATGGAGCCAGTTGAGTAGCCACCCCCACCGGCCACCTTGGTCTTCTCCAGCGCCCGGACTGCAAGGCAGGACAGACCACGGCGTTCACACACTGAAAACCAGAACCCACATTCACCAGGGCAGTTCCCAACACCACCGCTCCTACAGAGTGAGCCATGGCAGATGGGTTTGCCTGAAAAGTTCAATGCATTCTTCAGAGGTTAAACAAGAACAGGAACCCGAACGTTTGTGCAACCGCACTTTTAAAGAAACAGATTCTTCAACACTATCCTTTTCATTCCGGAAGAAGTATTTTACGTTGGAGTCCACCAAGAAGTGACGCACGTTATTTTAGTCTCCATAAAAATACAGACAGGAAGCTCAGAAATTTAGGACAAAGTTTGATCAATTTACTTAAAAGGGGACTTTACCTTTGTCTTGATGACTTTTGAGCATGGAAGTTCGATGCACAGACAACTATACCATTATAGGTGTCTCGGTACGAATGCATAATGTATGTTCCCCGCTTTAGTAGGAATGATGATGCCATCTAGGAGCGTTGCAGCCAAATAGCATTACACCAGAGTGCTGAGGCCCAATTGTTTAAAATATTTGCAACAGGAAGATCTGGCACTGCAGTCGTTGAGCCACTATGGTAACGATAGTGCATCGATTAGCCTAACCTTTAGCTTATGGCTTCAACAGCACTTGTTGTTTCGGATAGAAGAATAGCTCAAGTGTAAACTGGAGCTGATTTTAATTGCTGAGCCTAAAAGGATCAACTGTGGTGAAACTGGACAGCAGAACTTTTACTGACCTTTGGCAGGCCACAAAAAGCGGACAAAACGAAGGTAGGACAAATCGATAAACTACCAATAGATGCAATGCTGGCTGAAATGTCATACATTGCAGCACCCACAGAGCGCGAAACCTCCCCGTAATGTACTATTTTGAAACCTTATGGCTGCAGCTACTTCTTGGTGTGGCGCGGCAGTCGTGACAGCTTTTGACCAGAGAGACATGCCTCAAGTGGAAAGCGTAACACTTTCAGATGTTCAAGGAGCACACTACAGACTGTGTCTCTCACATTCATGAATTTGAGTGCATCATAACATACTGGGCTGCCAAAAACACTACACGTTTGAACCATTGTAGACACGAGAAAATGTGGCAGAGGGCGTCGACATGGGCATATCTAAGTCTGTCATAGCGGCCCAATAGTAATATGTGCTGTAAATTTTATTCAGCGTCCAACTCAGCTGCAGCTATTTCTACAAGGACAATTCTCATGACAGAGGAATCAACAATCATCTCCTGTGCAATCACGCCCTACCAGTTCATAATTAAGAAAAAAAAACCTTTTCTCTGGAAGCGTGATGACAGAGTAATGACTTTGTGGTCAATCAACGCAGTGGTGGTAAAAAATCTTTGAATATGTGGAAAAAAGATACTTGTACTTTTGATTTGCACATGCTTATACACTCGAATCTCCATATAATGAACCTGGATCTAACGACATACCTGTTGGAACGAAGTGATTGATAAGATAGCCTTGCAATAAATAGTGTTCGAAATTAACTTTTATAACTAATTTTTGGCTATAACAAACTTATTTTTGTGTAAGATTCAACTTTGTCATAACGAGGTTTGAGTGTACACGTTAATACTACATCGTTTAACGCCCAAGATTTGGTGGTTATCCTCTCATTTTATCGTTCCCAGCTGGAGACAAAGGATGCACACATTTGGTCTCCCTGCGACATGAAATGGTGGTAAACATTGGCCAAATGAGGTGGTCGAGGAAGGATCAAGCTTTTGTGGGCGACAATGTCATGCGGGAATGTTGCCTGAGGGCACCAAAACACAGAATGAACCAAAATGTACTTTTTGTAGAGTACAAGCTAACTGTCCCCACTGACTTGCGGTGTGGCCCACAGCACGCTAAGCCATAAATGACTCAACTAAGCGAAATTTCCAGTTACAAAGACCTGTCAAGCAATGACGAAATGACATAAAACTTGATTGATGAGGCTTTTGATGAAATGCCTACACAGACAAGCACTGGAAATACATGGAGATGAGACTGCGGCCACCAACACACACTTGATGACTTATAGACGACGATGCTATCGTGACAGGTGCCTTCAACTGTCCCTTTGGCAACACATGCGACGTAATGCCATTCGTGTCACTGCAGAGTACACGACACACTTTCAGTGCGTGGCAGCCCTAAAGGAGCTGGGCCACTGCCGCCTCCTCGTGCAGGACTGTTTCAAAGTGCACCTCGTGTTCAGAACTGAAAGCAGCAATGAGTTCACTACTTGGTCTGACGAGACTTGCACCGAACCTCCACGTGATCGGGAGTGATGCAAGGGTGAGAAAAAAACCTTGCTACGCAGACCTTCTCATGATAAGCAAGAGCACCGGCAGAGATGATGTTGGCAGGGAACTACACACAAACTGTTGGAGATGATTAGCATTATACAGCAGCAGGTACTGTGTTTCAGCAGCGGTTTCCACCCGAGAAGAGGTTACTCGTACAAATGCACACTCATACTCAAACTAAAGTCGCAAAGTGGGCGTGATGGTATAACGTTTTTTACGGCGAAAGCCTCGGATGCCTCATCAAATGCGAAATTCGCTTATCGGCGTCACGAGAAATCGAGGACAAGTGATGCGAAAAAATCACAAGCACGTGGCGACGTCGCCGCATGATGTCACAAACTGCCAAAACTTGAGACGTCATTATGACATCATAACATAAAATCGTAGTTTGGTCAAAGGTGGTCCAAACACGGAGATAATGCAAAAATTTATTTTAGAGGACACTTGAGATTCGCTTTCAAGAGTTGGTTGCGATACCGTAATCAGACCCTGCGTTCATCACCTTCTCGACCGCTAGTCTGCATTGTCGGTGCTCGCCTGAAAGGGGGCCCTACAACACTTTTGGCACATTTTTTTATTTAAGTTTCGTGTAGAGTGATGGCTGGAGATAATGTTAGCATAGACCTAAGCCTCGATGTCAAATGAATTAGCATTTTAATCACGACATAAGATCACTACATGGCTGCTGACCACATCAGCTCGTAATGGAGCTCGCCAGAACTTTTGCGGGTGGAAATGACGAGGACAGTTGCAAGCCTATGATTGCATAAGTGTAACGTTAGAAGAGATCGTGGCGTGCCATCAGAACTGATATTACAAATCTGTTTCATTTTTTTTGCGCTTATTCGTTGAACCCAGACGCAGGGGTAACAAAATAGATCACTACAACTACACAGCACGACAGAGATGCTGGCCACCATATCGCCGGTGGATTTTTGGCTCAACAGTATTTCACCACCTGGTCATTAGAGCTCCCTTCTCAGAATGAGAGGAGGGAGTGACATGGAATGTTTTTAAAACGAGGTGTCAGGTGACCTCGCAAAAATCAAGTTCAGGGTAGGCAATGTTTTTTTACTTCAATTTTTTTTTAATCAAATAACTTAGGTGCGCGGGCCATTATCACTGCCATTTTTGGTGCATTAATTTGTCTGTACTTCAGTTCACACAACTTAGGAGTAAAAAATGGGGGCGTTAAATAGTATTGGAGGGTCCCTTTAACCGTTTCAAAGTATCATTGAATGCATTTGCAAGCCTAGTTGTTAAGAGCCCACTGCGCGTCGGTAAGGCAAGACATGAACCTGCACAGCTGTTCACTTTGTTGATGGTTGTGCTGTTGATAATGACAAAATATGTATGAGCACTTTGCAATTGGTGCACCTTTAAAGCACCTCCTTCTTGCTCAATTCGCACCTTTTGACGCCTGGCACAATTGTACGTTTCTGCCACGCAATAGAATAGACTCTCATTAAACAAGACCTGAAGGAACCAGAGAAATACGCTTTGTTTAAAGAAGTTCCGTTTACTGTGAGATGACAAGGGGTGCAGAATACGAGAACGGAACCAATCTTGCCAGAAGCACTTGTTCCATTTAAGCAGTAGCACCGTTTAACAGATTTCTGTTTACTGGGAGCCTACTGTATATGCTGCATTTAACGAGACTCTTTTCCCTACCTAACATCCATATATAATGTTTATTTTTTTCCAGAGCAACTCCAACAAATCTCGTGGCTCTGAGGTAGAACACCTCCTTGCCACACAGACGGCCTGGGATCGATCCTCCCATTCGCATCTTACTCTATTTTTCAGTCCCGAACAAAACGACGATTTTTCCCTCACAACCAATGACGCCAACGGTGAAGCCGGAATTTCTATGAAACGGGCTCTTTAACCCTGTTGCATTAAAGCTGGGTGGGGTGCCTCGAAACTTGGATGCCATGTACAACCACAAAAAGTGTACAAAGCTTTCAAATATTAATATGCGGGGTTTGTTGTCCCGAAACCACCATATCATTATGAAAGCATAGTGTAGGGCTCTGGAAATTTCGACCACCTGGAATTCTTTAATGTGCACCCGAATCTGAGCACACAGGCTTACAGAACTTTCACTTCCATCGAAAACACAGCCGCCGCAGCTGGGATTTGGTAAACGAAAAGAAAGGAGCACACCTATTGCAATCGAAACTACACTGGCCCAGGCAGAGCTCCGTTCTGTAATCAAACGAACGGCATGCATATTGTGCTTTTGATGGGACAACAGAACTCAATGGAATACAAGCAACCAGCAGCACAAGTCAGAATGTAGTTACCTTGAAAACTGTTACGGCCCTCTAGCAATGTAGCAACGCAGTGACTAAGTGCTAGTACCGCTCGGAGAGGCTTGCTACTCATGAGCGGTAGCCTTCTTCAACCTCGGGCTCACTAGACAGGTTCTTCAACTTGAAGTAAATCTGACGTGAATCGCCAAAGAGACTCGATGTTCATATGCAAAGCGCAACCATTTTCGCTGTGTCGCCAGGGAAATCTTTTCTGCCAATGAGAGTGAGGCGGCCCACGGCCAGCACCCTCTCGCCTTTGATGAAGCAACGAGATCAGATTCCACGATAGAAAAAAATTCAGCACAGTGCCAAGAGAAAGTGCCGCGTTGACCCTGTTAAGCATAGCAGTCTTCATTTATTCGACTAGTGTTGCCAGCACATGGGAGCGTTTTACAGAGTTGCGAATAGGTATAGTGTTAGGAATACACCTTCACAACGAATTTATGGATACAACAAACTAATTTTCGTATAAGATGCAACTTCATTACTGTAAGGTTTGAGTGTAAGTGATAATTCCTTACATCCGTACTCTATACAGTGAGGTTTGACTGCACCTACTGTTTTGCTGTCTTTAAAATCTGCTTGGTATTTGCACCATGCATGAGAGCTGCCACTGCTCGTGCCTCCATAGCTTCCAATGGGCTACTGTGGCAAGCAGTCACTGGTATTTCCCTATCACCTACTCGAGCAATTTCAGCTCAGTCTGTTCTGTAAGGAGGTCCAGGCCAATTTTCTCAGAAACCGCTGAGCTTATCCTAAGTGGTGAAGCGTGAGAACGAAATTCACGACACAGCAAAGCTTTCCGCTTGAAATACGTTGCAGGGTAGACCCCCTTCATAGTTCAAGAACACGCAACCTGAATAGCGTCCAGTTTCGTACTTTGACACACCCAGGAAGGTTTGGCCGAGAAGACTTGTGGCAAGTAGCAAGAGCGCAATGAAACAGAAGCCCATATGTTTTAAATGCTTTTCTTCTTTCGTACGACTACACATTTTGCATTAAATGTTGTTACAAGCTGAACAAATGATTACAAGAGTTGACCTTAAATTATTGTACAGTTTCCTTTATCTGAAAACTTTTTCTGAAAGAGAAGCCTTTCGTACTCTGACACAGCATAGCAATAAACCCTCCGTTTTAGCATCAAATAAAGATAAATGAAGTAATCGGAAGTTTCTTGGGGTAAAGTGCTGCTACCATCATGATACAGAAACAATGTGGGCATGTTCTGGGAACTGAAAGTCTTATTATCCTAGAGCAGACAGAGCGGCTTTATTGCGATTAACGCAGAGCCTCCAATTCTCTGATGACTACTGTATCAGTACATAGTTCCCAAATATTACCTGCACAGATCGCGGGGATACTGAATTGGTGTTCATGAAACAGTGACGAATTTCATCATAGACTCTCATTTGACACGGCTGAAGTTCTTCATTGGACAACAACTACGCTTAGAGGCGTTTACATGTGCATAGCTCGCTGTTCCCCACCTGTGTCAAGACGGTGAGCTAGAAAAAAAAAAGTTGAAACCTTAGAAAAATGATGGCTAAAAATTGAACAAGATGTCTACTATTAGACTGAAGACCAAATTTAAAGCAATTCCTCATTTTGTTCCTTGTGTTTCTGTTGCTTGCCTTTGATATATATGAGCATGAATTAGAGGTTAAGGAGGGCTTTGATAGTGCCTACAAATGCCTCTTTTCCGAATCAATGCCTATATGAATTGTTATGTCTGCGAGTCGACAGCGAAACTCCGTGCCTCTGAAAAAGGCAATCTGTGTCAAGGCCAGCCCGCGAGTCCGCCTGACGCGAACAAATCAACGGCGTCAACAGGCGACGGCGCCTTTCTGTCGTGCACGTGCAGTGAGTCACCTCAGCAAGCGAGCCCGTCGAGTAAACAACCGGCGTCTTCCTGTCTGGCGGCTGACGCAATGCCTAGCGACGTCATTCGTCCTTGGGTGCAGCCACCTGCAGCGCAGCCTCTCCAGATTCGATGAGAAAGAATGACGCGGCCCAGCGGCGACCCCATTGGAAGAGTCCGACCTCACGACCAGCGGCGCTTCTGGTTGGACATTTGGGTTGGACCCGGTGCTTACAAAAGAAGCCCTGCGGCGCGTCGCGAGGAGACCCTTTTGAGAGCAGACCTATGTGTTAGAGAGGAGAGCTCGGCTCTTCGAGTCTCTGTCGGCCCCAGTGCCGAATTTGTAACGCCTCTGTATATATGCTGTACATAAACCTTGTTTAACTCACCGTCGTCTCGTCCGCTCGTCTATCAGCTCTGCGCAGAAGCAGTCGCGAGCTGAGAAACCTACGCTACCAAACGGCTGGTGACCTTCCCGGCGGAGTTCGAAGCAGTGGCGCCATCGGGACCGTGTTGGCGTCGCCGTCGTTCGCAACAGTGGTTGCAGCGGTGAGATTCGTAGCGCCCTTCGTAACGTCGTCGGAAGCGCGCGTCGCAACAGAATACAGCCTCAAATTTCACTTTTGAGTGCAACTTGAGACCATTATTCCTGTTACAGGACAACACTGACTGTTCGGAAGTCTATGTTGTTAAACCTAGTCCTTTAGTTCAAACAATTTCCAGAACACAACCACCAGCAGCAGTGAAGCGAGACGCGCCGGCCAGCATATGCCGCCACGCCAACATGGATCGAGCGGTTGATGAATGCCAGAACCACAGGAAACCGACAGGGGATTGATTGATAGGTATGCGGGGTTGGCTAACGGACAAGAGAAAGAACAGTGAAGAGAAAAATAAACCCAAATGTGATGTGCAGACAGCTTTTGTTTAGCTTGTAATTCACTTTTTAAAGTGTTCACTGATTGGGGAGAAATTGTACCTACACAATTCGACTTGGCCAGCGCAAAAATGCCTCCCTACTGCTTGCTCTTTCAGTGGTTTGGCTATCTGCTCCTGCTCTGGCCTTCTCTGCAGTGATGAGAAACCGTGTTCTCCGAAATGCAGTGAAAGTTTTCTTGTGCTCATGTAGCTCGCAAACATGCCGCCCACATTTTGTTGGGACAATGTAGTGCCGGTAGGGCTCACCCAAGGCATTTCGGGTCATCGCCTATCAAGACAGACATGCAGCAGACTTTACAACAGCTGCACAGTATACTGCTGCTTCCAAAAAAGCTGCGAAGTGGGCGGCTGTTGGCTGTTAGCATTAAAAGGGTACTGGCACAAAATTTTGTAGCCGAGATGGCCTACAGGATCTATTCCTGTGAACATGCATGCATCATCTGCAAAATATCAACAGCAAATAGAGCTTGGAAGGTATTTCACAGCAACTTTGAAGTTTGAATACTGAAGGCAAGTGACACCATCTAAAGGGACCCCTCAGGGACCCCTACTTCCCTCCCTCACATCACCACGCTGTAGTCAATAAAACGAGTTATGATGACATCATAGGTGCCATTTTTCTTTTGCCACGTTTGTTTCAGCGATCTATACATCTTGGTGGTTGTTTGTCAGTGCGTGGATGTGGCGCATAGTTTGAAAGTTATGTTTGGCGACACTGCAGCCCTGATTATGATACAAAAGAAATTCTTGATGCGTAATGTGCAGAAGTGTATCACAGTTCTGTGTGCTGACGTGGACAACAGCCGAACACGCTAGGTCACGATAGTTGCCCCCGGTGGCTTGTAGTTTTTGAAGCTCTTTCAAATTACAACTGAAGCTGGTTGATAATGAGGGGCCTGTAATTAATTATATGCCGCATGCTGCAGCGATGTGCCGCGTTATAACTAACAGGCCCCCAGCAACACATCGCAGAAAAAAATGAATAAATGCAAGGCCAAAGTTTTTGCATCAGTCCTCCATTTAAGTCAGGTTGCCGTTGGTATCGCAAGGTGCTGTATTGCACCGATTTGCATCCCATGCATTTTCAAAACATAGCATGCTTTTTACAACAAGATTTTAAACATGTCCCAAGTGATAATAGCCATTGCTGTTCCGTAGATGATGTGTGCGCCCACACAAAGTAATCTCGCCGGTTGTCACACCTTCAAAATTTGCTGCCTCAACTTGATGCTTTGGAAACAAATAATGTAATTACGGAGCTTTAAGTGCTGAAAAACCAACACGAACATGAGGTCATGCTGTGGTGGGGGACTGCAGATTAGCTTGATCACGTGGGGGTTCTTCAACAAGTGCCTAGACTTCGCTAGCCAGGGCATGTTTGCACTTAGCCCAAAATCCAAGTGCGGCCGGCGTGGTGAGGAGTCAAACTAGCACACTCATGTTTATAAGTAGGAGCTTATCAGCTAAGCAGCAGCTGCTCTGCAAGCCCAGTCAATCAGACTCGACAGGACTACAAGCACCCCCCTTCGTCCTTCCGCAAGCCCCCCCCCCCCCCCCCCACCGGTATTGTACCGAGAATAAAATTTCCTCAACACTACATTACCTGCAGAGGAAGCACCACAGGTAATGCGCTAAAAGGCATGCACACCTGTCAACAAAAGTTTATGGGAAGCATATGCAGCTACAAAATGCGAATTTCTACTCCACCAATGTGCAACACTTCCACTTGAACTGGTGACTGCATTGGCTTCAATATACAAACTACAGGATGGAGTACTAATGAGGATTTTATCTTGCCAGATAAAAAGGAAAAATAGCTTTTTTTGAGAATTTTGGGTTCCGCAAACTTTCGCTCACAGGTGTAGGCAGAACTGCGGTCGCAGTAAGAATGCAAGCATGCAAGTGAGTACTTTGTTCCTCGAGGAGCTTGTTCTGTCGCTTGAGGTCCTCGATGTCCTGCAGGTGGGCAGTGTTCTTACGCCGCATCGACTGGATGTAATCGGCCGCCTTCTTTAGGATCTGAGCCCGCGATGCCTGCGAGAAAAGGCAGCACTCGTTGATTAGTATGGACACATCTCACACGCATTTTGTGGCCACACAAAACTCATCCTCTCTTCTGGCTTCTCAAATGGATGAGCATAGCTCGTCTACTTGACGGCGAAGATTTTCATCATTGACAGAGTATACAAAACTGTCAGAATGATGAAACCAGTCTCAGAATGTGTGAAAATTTCTAAAGGCATTGTCGCTGTTGTGCCCTTTACACCGTTAATTAGTGGAAGGTAGCCAGCGTTTATCTTTCTACTTAAAAGCAATGTTCAGTAAGCTGCTTTGACTGCGTATGTGCTTCCATTTCTTTCTGAACAGCAAAAACTTTCTTTTTCGGAGAGAGGTATTAAATGCCAACTGTGAATAAATTTTTTTTTTTAATTTTTAGGCAAAGGACTTCTCAGAGTATCAAAACAGTTAAGAGGTCAAGCACCTGTCTTCAAGTTCCTGTCTTGAGTTGGATACAACACAAGACAGGTAAGGCCTTGCACAGATAACTACAGTACACGAGCCAATTGCCTCCACGACTAAAAAAATAGTCCAGCTTGTAAACAGCGATGTTCTTCGACATTGGTGTCACCGACCATTCAGCTCACTAAGTCGGTGAAAAGCGTGCGTTCGGTGGCGCGGGCTTGAGTTCCTTCGCATTCGGAGTCGGAAATGCGGCTGCCTTTTAAACGATGACGATAGTTATAGCGCGAGAACAAAACAACGACACAGAGACAAGAAGGACACGAAAGACACGAGCCGTGTCCTTCTTGTCTCTGTGTCGTCGTTTTGTTCTCGCGCTATAACTATCGTCATGCCATACCAACTAGCCCAAGCTGCCACACTTCTAAATGCCTTTTAAAGTTGTCCCTCACTGTAAATATAAGCACGTAGATATTTTTACGTTTCTACTTCCACAAATCTGCAGCCAACAGCCATGGCCTATCCTCTGTTACGACCTTCATAAAAATGCATGCTCCATCCACAACCATCGCAGTCCTCCCCACAGAGACTTTGCATTAATGCTCATAGGGCTTGTGCATTTCGGTTATGTAAACCACTTCTACAGCGTTTTCAGACAGCTGACTTTAGCATACAAACAAACATTTGTGTCATTCGTTTTAGGTCAGAGATAGAAAATTTATGGGCTTCTAGTTTTTTTTAGACAATATTAATATGACAACAGACAATAATTACAAGGAAAGTACAGAGGATGCTATTGTTAGTAAATATAATGCAATTGTGAAGAAAGAAAAGTGTACAAAAATACAAACTGCTGCCGGTACGGACCGAACCTGCAACCTTTCAATAACGCATCTGATGCTCTACCAACTGAGCTATGGAACGTCCACAGAGACAGCCGAAGGGGAGGGATAAATCAGCTGGTAGAGTATTGGACACATCATTGAAAGGTCGCACATTAGGCCCTTGCCGGCAGCAATTTATATCTCTATACACTTTTCTTTCCTCACATTTACATTACATTTACTAACAACAGCATACCCTATACTTTCCTAAGCAGGGTTGTCAGTTAGTTACCATTAATATTGGTTAAAATCATAAACCTGAATGTCCTGGCAAATACTGTCAGAGATTCTGACATCACTGCTCAGCTAAACATGACGTGAAAAGACAGTAACAACATACCTTTAACTTGTAATATGTATAGTATTCGCATTAGCTGAGAGAAGTCATTATGGTTTAAGCAGAAACGGTCTGTCACAACTGTTTATTACAGGTATCGAAGGTGCCCCGCAGTTCTGTGGGCAGAGCGGCATTGTTTTCTTTCTTTTTTTTTTTAGGTTGTAACCGAGCGCAGACCAAAACACAGCAAATTCCATGCGTAGCGCCATATGTGTATTGTGCGTCGCACCATCTTTTGTAAACGTAATAAGGCAACATCCCTGGGCTGCCATGCCAGCAGACACTACACAGAGTAAACCCGAAACTTCAAAAACTTAATTCCTCAGAAAGCTTTTTTTGTTTCTCTAGTCCAGACATTTTTGCTGTTTTTAAAAGACCATCCAAACCCACTGATCGTGCCAGTCCACAATGTATTCAGTACATGCTGAGCAGGCTGCGGAAGCAACGTCATCAGGTACGTACGCCGTTACATTTGTACAAAAACGTTCTTGCTGTAGCACACGAGAGTTGTAATGGCAGTGCCGCTCACGAACAGTGAAACAATGTTTTCTTGCTGCACATTTCAAGTTGCACACAACGTTTTGTGAAAACTCTTCATTTCAACATGCACCACGTAATGATTAGAGTACACTTTGCGGGTGATTTCGCTGAACGTAATTTTTTTTAAGTTTCACCGAGCGCACTTACGATAATGCATCTGGTGCTACAAAGACGTGCTACCAGACAGTATCACCTGCAGTATCGTTCAGTGATCCCTTTTGGAAGCTACCTGCACAATTTTAATCCTGTAACGATGATGCTTTACGAGTGTAACTGCACTACTTTTAGTTAAATCAATACTTAAATGCACGGAATACTGCTATCTTTCATCGAATAGGTGCTGTGTAGATGTGCTAAAAATTTTGCTGTTTCAGCTAGCATTTCGCCTGCATCTCCAACATAAAAGACATTTACACGATAACTGTATTTACCCAATTCCGACACGCACCTTCTTTAAGGAAAAATAGATCTTAAAATCGCAAGCACGTTACATTGGGGTACAGACGTTTAAACTGCCCCATAGCAGTATCTCTGTTTTGGGGTCATGTAAGTCAGGTGCACACTGGAATTCGGTACCATAAGGTCTTGTTCACTAGCATACCAACATATGTATTCTGTGAAGATGGATGCCTTGAGTCCAATTAAATTTGGCAAAATCAAACACTGGAATGACGGCACGAAGTTTTGGCCAGCTGTTCAATAACACCGTACCATTTACTACCATCCGAAGACGAAAGAAAGCTTGTAATCTTGAAGGTGTGAATGCCTTCCAAAAGCACCAAAGCTTAGTACTAGATTGAAAGTGGCAAAGCAGACTGCTTGCATAAGCTCGGAAGCACTACCTCACACTAGATTTTTGTCAAAAGATATGCTGGAAGGTATTGAGTGCACCACCAGACAAATCTTGCATCTGCCTTCGACTGAGCAGTACGTCGTGCAAATCAGGTGGGCAAACTGGAATAGGTGGACGTCACATTAGAATCCTCTCAGTTAGTGCACTTGTGCATTTTCTTTCGCCTCTTAGTTTTTCTGTTTGAATCACACTTATCCACTAGCGATGAAGCTGGACACATCGCACCGGCACAATTCCCGTGGAGCATCGTGATCGTCGCAGACAGCCCCAAGTAATATTCGCCTGCTGGGCTTCTCGCTTTGGCACCCAAAGACGACACAGTAGTGCCCCCACGAGCCATTATACACAGAAGCGGCGTGGGTCGTGAATTTTTTTCACTTTCAAGCCTTAGAGCCGCAGCTTGCCTTGTTTACTTGGCGCGACCGATGCGCACCGTGGCAGTCCATCGTCTGGGTGCGAGAGCATCTCCTCGGCTTGCCAGCAGCCTGGGTGCGAGACAGGCGTGCTCCAGTGTACAGCAGCATTGACACGCACAATTTCTTTGCAACAGGCTTTGTTAAAGTAGTGCCCAAATCAGAAGCCCATTAACAGCTCACCTTCTCCCCTTGTAGAGAGGGCACGGCGTCCCGTAGGCTGGTGAAACTGAACTTGATGTGGTCCCTCCGTCGTCGTTCCAGCGCGTTGTGGTGTGCCCTCTTGTCCGCCTGCAAGTGTAAGCGAAAGGCAAGGGTTGCAGCAGCACATCTCACAGGTTCATTGTACACATGAAAACCTTCTTGCATAATCATTCCGTTGTATTCGTGAACTTTGGCACCACTTTGGAGGAGTAAAATGCTGAAGTATATGTGGAGCACTCCTTACTATTTAGAAAAACCTGGCGGCCGCTCTTCTGGCTCACGCAAACGAGAAGCGTACGTGGCCCGACACTATTAAAGTACCAAGACAAAAATTTACAATTGCTTTTTTTGCATCAAATGAAGGGCCAGACCCCTAAGAGCATAGAACGTGAGTATACCTTGAAAAAGTAATAGCAGTATGTTTATATAAACTAGTGCTGGTTTCTGCGGAACATTGACGACACAAAACTGTGCGAGCCTCTCATTACCAGCTTGCACAAGACGCAGCGATGTTTTCGTCGCCTCTCTGCTCCAAGGCTCCAGTGGCGATGTTTAAGTGGCCACACATTGACTGTTTTCGGTACCTCACGTAATCGAAACTAGCCATGCTAGTGTCAAGTCACCTGAACTGACACTAGCCAAGCGTTGCAATAGTGTGTATTTCAGTGATTGTGCCAATGAGAAAACCAACTTGCATGTCAATATAAAATGTCTTAGCATTCACTAAGCTTCACACTTGCTTGGAGTTTTTTTTTTGTGTGTGGCAGAGTAAACTTGCATAGAAATTTGGTGCTACCAGTATCCCTTTAATGTGACCCTTCCGGACCTCACAGTGTGTTACGTTGCATAACTTCAAAGTACTATGATAACCAAAGAAGCATATATATGCATAGAATCTACATTAACATGCTTTTATATGCCTTCTGCAATCAAAACAATCAGCACGCAGATGATCTGGGAGACTCATTTGCAATAGAAAACATGCAAGCTCAGACAAAGCAGAACCAGATTTCTTGTGATAATGCATACAAATGCTTCATAGTATTTAACTTTTACAAGTCATCTTGGTTTCAACGGTGTTGTTTGAGCAGTTTACTCAGTAAATGCCGAAAGCTTCACACTTCGTATTCAAATTTGATTTGCAAGTTACACCCGAATCACTGTTCTCTTCAGGTGGACTTGAAACTGCTATAGACGACATTGTGCAAGAAATACACGCGTCCCGACATTGGGCTTCTTAAATGAATGGCTTTTTATAACTTTTGTAAATTCAGATGTGAATCAATTAAGTCATGGAATCGGTTGGGTTGGTGCATACACAGCTTCCATAAGTTGTTAAAGATACAAAACGATAAAGGTTAACAGCCCAATGTGGTGGCACTGAAACCCATCCGTGAAATAGGCTACAGTGCATCACAGGAAATGAAATGGCCGAGCGCCCTGTCCTTTCGTTCGCCCGTTTGTTCTCTTTCGTGATGTGCTGTACCAGTTCAAGTACGACAAACTAACTTGACCAGTCATCAACAGTAGTCGACCTATGGTGGAGTGACCGCAAGAGTTTTCTCATCAGTGTGCCACGCGGTTGACACACCACCCCATTCCAGTACAGCGTACAGGTATACTGAGACATTATGTTATGAGACGCCACTGACGAAATATTTTAAAACCGACATGCAACATTTTTGTGAATACTGGTAATGTTGAAGCATAATTCCTGCTTCACATCACACATTGCGTTATTTTTATGAAGCATTCTTGCACATGTTAGCTTTTTTTTTTTTTTTTGCTCTAACGGCCCTCTTGCCTGGTCTATAGTACTGGTTTACTGTACTGGGTTAATAAATGCACAAAAAATATTATGCCGGCAATAATTTTAGCAATTTTGCCTGTAAGACAGTCATGGCAAGAAAAGGTGGCAGGCGATAAGGACTGTACATGCCGCAAGAAAATTCCGCAAATGTTTCTTCGGTAAAAAAAAAAAATGGCTAAACTGGGTAACAAAACAGACTATAGAAAAGACATTCTCAAATTAAAACAAACACTGCAATAGCAAAAACGGAAGCGTACTGATCACAGCAAGAACCAGGGACAGTGACATGGGGGCATTGCAATGCAAATACACTGTGCATGCATGCAAAACATACTTCCTCGTGCAAAACTCTGTGAGAGGCACCTGTCGATGACTGCACAACACTAGCAAGATGCTCTAACACGTGCAATGTTACGTAAAAATGCGAAAAGAAAAGAGGGCCATACCCGATCAGCATACAGGAGTACAGACACAAGTGCCAACTTACAACTACGAGTTCACTAGAGAGGCCAGATATACAAAGTGTGCTTAAAACGCATCATCACAGCACCGCTGAATTTATTCTTGCTCTTTTCGGTGTGTCGGCAACTTCAAGTGATCGCATGCTTTATAATGCTAAGAAGTATTAATCTTTTCTAGTGAACGCTTGGCTTAAAGTTAGCCACTGCCCCTGTTTTGCTTTAGCCCGCAGTTATTTCTTCCCACACAATAGCACAGCAATCACCCCTGTATTGCATTGGTCCAATAAGACTAATACGGAGTTTTTGATTAGGGACCCCGAAGAAATAGAGTCGAGATCACCATGCGCAACACCAAAACCACCTTTGGGCTTTGCATTGAGGACGCTATTTCTTGAATTTAGAGGGCGCCCAAAAAGCTTTGCGACAGACAAACGTGACGTCACCCACTGAAGTGACAGCTGACCTAGAATAGGGGAATGATGTGCAAAGTGCCACAGACCCTATTTGAAAACTCGTTGCTCCTGTTTGACCCAAAGCATACATACGCAAAGGGCTTTTGTGCCCCAAAATATTGGGACCCCTGTTTGAAAACTCCCTACTGTCCTATTGCTACAAGCGAAATGGGTCAAACTAGTCAAAATCAGAAAACTGCAGCACTTGGCAGCCTGACAAAATTGCTGTGCTAGTTGGCAAAGTCACTTTAACCAGGATGTGCGATGCATGTAAGGGTCAAAAGAGGCAATTGTACCGTGTCTTTTCATATATAATGAAAAGAATCGTGTTAAAGGTGTGTTTATTTAATAGAGTCTGAACAGAGGCCCATTGACCGGTTTTTGTAGACAAACCAGTGTAAAAGGAAACGAGGACAAGTAAAAACAGGAAAATGCTGTCATAAGCATCGCTGCCAGAACAGTGTTCCACACACACACAAAAAAAAAGGGATAAAAGAAAGAACGGAGGGAAGTATATTGGAACTAACATTTCAGTCAATAGCATTAGCCGGGGGTGACATATTGATCAGGTAAGCCAATGCTCTATCGCGTTTTACAAAACCGATCGGCATGTTTCGATCACTAATCTGGAATTTCATTAAAGCCTTTCACTGTCTTGACGTGGAACTGTTCATACGCTTCGGCACCGTTCGCTTACTTTTCCGCTGGTTACTTCATTTATAACCTAGCGCGCGGAGCACGTCGCATCTGACGTTCGAGTCATTCGCGTTCCGGCACCGAATTTACCAAGACCCCATTTTTTAAACATCGTTTCGGCCTAGAGTGATGACGCAGGAAGTGGGATAAGCGTCTGCTAGAAGCGAAAAGACAGCGCAGTTAATAATGACGGGGTGACCCAGCGCAAGTAATCACAAAAGAAAATGAACACGGTACGGACGACTGAACACGTTGACGGTGGTACGGAGGCGGCGTTGAGACGGGGGACTCCAGCGGGGGGCCTCTACAGTATGACGCGGTTGAAAAAGTCGCATGAAACGCGGTAGTACAGCACAACTCGTAGTCTCGTATGTTCATGGTTTGAAAGATAAATGGCTTACGCCAAAAGCACCGTGAGGTCGCTGTAACAACGGCGCCGGATGCTAACAACGCGCCCCTAATGAAACTGAACTACGAAAACAATAATTTAATGCTCCGTGGACCGAAAACTCCAAGCTCCACGGCACGTTTCATACGGAAAGCGAACACGCACGAGGAGAACCGCAGGAATCGCGGACGAAGGAAAAAAATATATATAACAAAAAGTGACCCGACAGCTGACAGCCACGCAAGCTTCGGTTAATGGAGGAGCAGATCGAGACGCTGTCAAACGAGAATTCGCACGATGGGGCTTCGTGCTCTTGAGAGGGAACCGACAAAAATAGGACAAAGAAACGAGCCGACGGGACGGTACACGATGAGTCCAGTACACGCTGGTGTTTGCGTTTTGGTTTTGTAACGGCGCGATTGTTTTGAGTCACGTGAACAACCGAGCACGCATCTTGAACAGCCGCCCGTGCAACGCACCACACGGCAGCGGCGGCGGACAAATAGCGGTCACGTCCCCCTGGAAAGCTACGGAGCGGGCCGTTGCACCGAGCCGACTTTTTTTTTTTTTTTATCCCCAAGCCGCATGCTTTCGCACGTAGGCGCCACAGACCGGGAGACGACTGGTACACTAGGCCTCGTCACCCCCATCCCGTGCGAGTAACAGAACAAACAAAACAGCGAACGCCGTGAACTGAGCCAGCCCGCAGCCGCGTCACGAAACACGGGCGTCGGAGGTAAGAAAACTACGATTGCGTCCAAAAACCCCGGCATTCAGCGCGTGGGCACTGAGGAACCCCCAAAGGCGACCACATGACCGAGAGTGCGGGCCCCACCACGCTCCCTCGGTTGATCGAGCGTGCATAGCGCGCGCGGGGAAAGGAAGGCGCGGAGATTTTTTTTCCTTTCTTCATCGTCGGTACTCACGTCACTTTCGATGTCGACGTCGCGCTCTTCATCGCTCATTATTCCTTGCCGACGAGCAGGAACACCACTGGTTGTTGTGGTAACGGCGATGGTGCACAAAAAAAGACGTTATGTAATACACTGCTCGCGTTCGCTATCCAACGCCGACAACGCGACGGGAGGATTCGGCGCAATGTGCGAGCGGAGGAGAAATATGGCCGATGCCAGCGCCACGCTGGCCACGCGGTTCTCCCTACCCACGTGCGCGCCGTGACGTCACAGCCACCTTGTAAACACGAGGGGCTGCAGGCGCGTCGGTACAGCCGCTCGAAGCGGCTGCGGCAGACCCTACCTGGCCCAATGGCGCAACGAGGTTGCAGGGCTGGGTCTCGGAGAGCTGGCGAGAGGCCACGGGGACCGAACATGACGCCGAGTGCGTTCGTAGAGGTCACTTTTTTTTTCTTTTTTCGCAGCCGGGCTGCTTCGCACGGCTAGCCACCATAGCATGGCCTCCGCCTTCGAAGCGCTTTACTGCGGCCTTCCCAAGAGCGTTGTGGAGCGACGCACGGGCACAGACCCGATACTCCAGCGAGCGACTGCCGAGCGTCGTTTTTTTATTTTTTATTTTGCTCATCTTAATCATTGCTCCCAATGACGAAGAAATGAAAGCAGACAATTTTAAGGGCTCGTTCCTTTCTTTGATACAGCCCCGATAAAACTACCTGACAACGAAGCCAAGGAGGCATTTTTTGGGACTTCAATTATACCGTTTTAAGTGTGTTGTAGTATAGTTACGATAGAAATGTAAAAAAAAAAGCGAAGAATACAAAAGAACAACTAGCAGTGGGCAGGGACCGCATCCTCACCCTTCGAATAAAACGCGCATTTAGCTGCGGCGGCAGTCTCAGCTTCATGCTTGGTTGTGGGTTCTGTTCCTGTAGGTGGAAAGTTGTCTTTATCTTTTTTTTTTACTGTACTTTTTGACAACTACATCACAATTGCTACAATCCACTTAAAATAGTACAATTAACGCCCCTTACACTTTCCTTAACATCATTATCCGTTGGAATTCATTAATACTGTACATTAAAATAGGCAACTACGAGTGAAACATGGGGGAAACTACTTGAACCCCCCCTCTTCCCTGCGTCGACAGTGTATCGGTGCTAGATAAGTGAAAAGCAGCTACCCTAACGTCCTGGTACCTAAGAACATAACTGGAAGTTATGCTGGTTGGAGTATGCACAAGTGGCGTGCAGGAGGGTGATTATTTGTCGGTTTCAAGACCGATAAGAGCTGTGGTACGACCGATACTTCACATGGCATAATTAATATTGTTGAAGTACTAGCGATTCAGTTAGTATTGCTGGTTCATTGAGTTCTTACGTTAAGACTAGTTTCTCCGTTAAAGGGATTGATGGCATCTGATGCTCAGTTAATATGCCCGAAGTTCCTCCGTCACTGATATTGCACACATGCTTATTAAAGGTGACTTCAAACAAATGCAGTCATAGAAGAAAAGGATTATAAATGGAATGCTATAAACACACATCTTCTGGTACAGCATTTGTACTGTGAACCCAGCAAGATGATGTTGATGATATCCTCTTCTTAGTGGCGCTGATCTAAAAGGGGATAAGCGAAGAAGCAGCATGTGTCGTCTTTTTGCGTCGCTTTTTTTTCCTTAAGCACTACGGCCTCATAACGCACTTCCTCGTCCATATTAAAGACCGTTTACGTAACTCCAGCCTAATTTCCCAATGGCCTGGTACGGTCTCTTCGATTGGCTTACAGAAATGCCGCCATTATGGAGAGATCCGCGGCCTGTAGTAACACCGACCTCATTAATTCGCCAGCGCATGCACAGCAACCCTCAGATCCTCGCAGCAGGGTATATGTTGGTTGCTACTTTATCTATTTAACACCCTTGTGTCCTGTGCGAAAAGCTATTTCGACGACGCACCGACACTATGACGAGTAAAAGGGACAATCTACGGAGATAACGGCTGTTCTCCTCCATATCACCGGTGAATGTACGGACGAAATCTGCTCAAGGACTCGATCACGCCTTGCATAAGATACCGCTATACGCATTGTGAATCTCTGCCCGGAGCCTGACTCACTCTCTTAGCTTGCTTTGTGAGCAAGCTAAGAGTCACCGATTGACAGCGTTTTCTGACCAGCCTCAAAGTGTTGCAGAACCCTTTTTTCTTTAAGAGCAGGGCAGTGTTATGGCGACGCAAGTTCTTGGCGATGCTAAAAGCTGCCAAGAAATGTTTATTTCTATTCCTTACTCCCGGAAGGCCACTGACCGCGGCCGTTCATTGTGAAGAGAGTTTACTTTCGGACTCGACCAAAGTGAAGAGGTGTAGACGCTGCGATGAAACTTTGCCCTCTCTTGTGGTGGTAAATATGCGTGACCCCCGAAAAAAGAGAAGTTTAGCTTAGACAAGTATTGACACGAATAGAAAAAAAAATCCAATTGTTGCTCTCCATGGTAGAAAAGACCTATATGCTATAGGTATTTCCTTGGCGTAAACAGTCAGACCCCAACCTGTCACAGACCACTCCCAACTCTACCGCCGGAACTAACGTGCTAAAGTGGCTGCTTGGGGGTGGGGGGGGGGGGGGTGGAGTCATCTTAAGTGAAAAGAAGAGGAAAGTGAGCCCCGTAATTGTCTCGTAGGGGGAGGACACCTCAACAGTAGCTCACGAGGGATGGGGGTAGAGAAGGGATTAAAAGGTAGAGGGAGAGGAAGGAGAGAGCGAGGCGCAGGGACAGCGAACGACGGAAGTAAGGAGAAGACAGGAAAGATGGAGACGGTTGCAGGAGTCCGAGGACGGGGCACCACTGGCGAGAGCTCTTGTCGGCGACAGGAGATAGCGTATGGCCAGTCCAGTAGGCCACAGCTACGCTGTCGTCGAAGATCGGCGTCAGGAGGTGGCGTAGGGCCAGCCCAGTCGCCCAGAGCTACGCTGACGTCGGAGGTCGCGAGGGCACAACCGGTCGGCACGAAGTCCAGCGAGCGACCCTGGATAGCTAGCAGAAGCGTGGGCCTTTGGTCGCTTGTATTCGGCCCGCGTGGACTGTCTCCGTCGGTGGGCCCGGCGCGGAAGGTTTTTCTCTGGACACCCGACGCTTCACGTCGAGCTTTAAGAGCTCCTCTCCTGAAGAATGCCCTGCAGGCACGTCAGTCTCGGAACTACGTGAAACAGTTCAGAAAGGTCAGCTTCGGCCTATTAAAATAAATATATAGAAATATTCGGGAGCTCCCAATGAGGTGGTCGGCAGGCTCGGTTTGCCGGTCCTTCCTTCCTTCTTTCCGTCTGTTCTTCCCTCCTTCCTTCTCTTCCTCCTCACTTCCCTCTCCTTCCTTCTTTCATTCTCTCCCCTTTCCCTCCTTCCTTCCTTCATTCCTTTTGTCTTTCCTTCCCTCCTTCTTTCCTTTTGTTCTTCCCTCCCTCCTTCCTTCCGTCCTTCCCTCCTTCCTTCCTTCTGTCCTTCCCTCCCTCCCTTCTTCCTTCCTTCCGTCTTTCCTTCCCTCTCTCCTTCCTTCCCTTCTTCCGTCCTTCCCTCTCTCCTCCCTTCCTTCCCCCAATACAAAGCAATATTCGTAACTCTTTCATGATGGGAGTGCCGACAACGAATGTAATTATCACATACCTGTTCATTGAGCCAAAAATAAATTATTTTTAATAAAAGTGAAGACTCACACGGACGTACTGCCAGCGGAGAGAACTCTTTATTTTACGAAAAATAAAACAGCGCAAAAAATAATAACAAATGAAGGCCAGAAATTGACCAGAAATTGACCTATACGAATTAGACATGAAAATGCAGATTTTATAGTCATGCAAGCGCCATCAGAAAACTCGCCATAAAAGTGCACAAATGACATGGTCAGTCTCGCAACAATACGTGAAAAAAAAAAGTAAAGGTAGAAAGGAAACGTCGCAAATTTTGCCCGTTCATGAGGCAGAAGTCCATAAAAATGCGTGGCTGAACAAAACAAAAACCCGACTTTATGCATTTCTGACGAGGCCAGCTCTTCATAAAGATCCTCACTTCTCTGCTTATGGCGGGCTCTCGTTGTATTGGGACATTTTTTCTTTTTACTTCCTGAATGACCTTTTACTTGCAGAGAAAGGAATGTTGAGTTTTCCCTCGCAGCCTATATGTATGTGTTACTTAATGATCTACCTTTTGCTGTTCGACTAGGCTATTACAGCTGTATTATGCTGCTGGACTACAAAGCCACTTGGTTGATTTGGCTATTGGTTTATTTATGTTGCACCTGTAATCACATCTGATGAATGTAACTTCCGTATATCCGTGCATTCCTGGTATTGGCTGTAGTGTTTCATAAATAAATAAATGAATAAATAATTAAATAATGGTTATGTATATGTATGTTTGTAGGTATGTTTGAATGTATGTATGTATGTATACATGTATGCATGTATGTATGTACGTACGTACGTGCTAAGATCTGTTTAAGCTTCCATGACAGCCCACACTTCTCGTCGCATGCACAGTTTCCTGATCGGACAATTGCTGATAGATGGCACGCGCAGGGCTGAGACATTGCACTCGTTGTAAAGACAAACGAACAATTTTGCCGTATGCCGATTGGTGAAATTCGCGCTTCCGTCAAAAACGAGGGGGACGTTAGAATGAATTAACTGTGCATGTTGGCTTAGCATGATCCGAGGGGATGGGTAAGAAGACGACGACGGCGTTTATTCTGTAGTACCGCCTATTCGGGAGCTAAAGTACATCAAAAGCAGTTATTTCTTCTATTTGGGGCACGATTTTCGGCCCACTTCTCCGGGATGCAGCCACAAAGATGTTTTCTTTGGCATTGAGGAATCCATCACTGAGAAAAAGAATAACTTGCTAAATCCCACCTGCTTTAAATGTCTAATTACTGAGTATTTGCACTTCAAATTAATATGTTGATACTATATTAGTATCCAGGAATCATACACTCGAAAAATAACGGGAAAATCCAACGACTATTCGGCATGGTGTCAGCAAGGTTCAGGGTGCAAAAGGGGCACTTCCATGCCCCTCAAGCCACACTATAGGGCTGGACCACCTGTCAAAGCTGAACCAGCAATCCTAACCTCCCCAACTGCGACGAAACACGGGCTCGCACCCTTCCCCCCTTTCCCGCTCTCCCGAGACCAAGTTCTGCCGACGACCATGTGGCTTGCACAGTCTCCTGCATTGGATGGGTACGAGTCATGCTCAGAAGAAATCAACAGTCTCCCTTTTATTCTCCGTCGTCGTCTTCGCGTTTTCTAACCCCGTTTGGTCCTTGACGTTCAATGGGGTGAGCGGCACATGGCAAAAAAGTTCGTTTTCGTAACGAATGCAATGTCCCGCCAAAGGGACTAGTTTCACTCCTCCAGCATCCTTCAGCTGTTGCCGGCACCGCCGTTCTTCCCTGAAATGGCGGTAGCTTCCATCTCCAGCACGAGCGCCGTCAGACTTCCGATGTCGGGTACGGTGTGAGAGTCCTCGGCAGGGGGCGCACTGGCACCGGCTTGAGTCGGTTGCCACGGCGACGGCGCCCAGGTACCCTGAAGCACGTGACCAGTTGCGGCTGCTGGTTCGGGCTGTGTCCACACTCCCTCCGGGACTTTGTGCACCGCTGGTGGCGGTCCCTGGGTAGATTGTACCACCTGCTGCCACTGCGGTTGCGCTTGCCACATTGGTGGCGCTGTAAACGTAAGAAGAGACGAAGTAGACGGAATAAATAGGATGACAATTAGGCCGTCGAACCGACCAAATACGAAGTGCTGTGACTGAAAAAAAAAGAAAGTTTTCATGGCAATATTCTGTTCACGGATTGTGCGTATCATGTGAATTGTGATTTATTATGCCATATCGTGACCTATATGCATGTTTGCCAAGCTTAGAAAAAATCAACTAGATAAACGTCACACCCGTACGTTTGTCAGACCTGAATGCTGTGTCGCGAGAGAGTGACTTACTGATACGAAAAAAAAAAAATTCATTTATCTCATATTGGTAAATCATAATCTCGTATAGCAAAATCACCATTCTCACTGCGAGATGACACTCGGAAAGCACAAAAACGCGCAAAAGAACACTGAGCTTGGTGACGTCGCCTTGAAATTACTGCATCGTGACTTCACAGATTTGACGGCGTCTATTAGGGCCTACAAAGTTTTTAATTAGTAAAATATAAGTAAGACATCCTCTTAGGGTGCCATACACTTAGCATATACCAAGTTTTAGTGAATATCGTTGAGACATTGTCACTAAAATAGAAAAAAAATCACCTTGACAACCGTGACGTCATGCGCGGAGATTTCAGCGCGAAATTTAAAATGAAAGCCTGACCTTGATTTTTTGTCTATGATTCTATGATAGTGAAATTAACGACACTGGAGTTATCAGAATAATAATTCTCGGTATAACTGATTCAACGTATCCCTGTAGTGCCCCTTTAAGGAGATGCAGTTTTTGCTCACCAGCGGCGGTACTGTAAGGCGCTTGACGGTACCGGATGCAGTCGTGTCCCGTAGGGCTCCTCCCAGCCGTAATGCACGGCGCCGAATGGCTGAACGACGAGGTCAGCGGAGGCGGAGGACTATCAGGCCAAATTGACTCGACGCTGCCGTACGGTCGGCACGAGGTTGCCGCCACGTTAGGCCTAAGTTCCACGGACGCGGACAGGGCTTCCTCGTCGCCACTGCTCACAGCGGGAGAAGGTGACGACGGTACTGTGGGAGACCTGCGTGACGAAATGCGACATTATTACCGACCTCACGTTGATGGTGCGAGGTGCAAGCCCGTCTTACCGGTAATAAAGCAGCAAAGAAAAAAAGTGAATTGGAATCGGTCGTCTAGTCGAGTTGAGAAATGCTTAAACGAAGTAGTGTACACGACCTGGACCAAAGTGGCTCGAAATCATACAGTATCTCGGCTCTCTGGTTAAAACAATCTGATGAAATGCAACCCTGGTGGTGAACCAGTGAAGAAGCAGAGTAGCCAATTACTCTTAAGCTGTATTGACTGGTGTCGTCAATCGATAAATTGGCACGCAGGGGAACGACGCCGTGCTCCATGAAAACTATGAAGAAAAAAAAGTCAGAACTTCAAGAAAGCTATATAACGCCAGGGTTCCCAGATTCAGCAACTTAGTGCGAAATTGGCTGCTTTAGGCTGTTTGCGAGAACAATTTTGGCACGGGCTCCGACGCGGTTGAACGAAAAGATCCATCCTACTCACATTCTGTCGTTCCATCGTGGCTGCGGAACCGTGAGGTAGCCGCCGCCTGCGGGAAAAGATCCGTGCGGCGGCACCCTCTGCTGCGGTTGAAAGTCGGTTCCTGCGGTGCACTGCGCTTGGGCTCCGGGATTGTCGACTGAGAACGCCGACGCAACAGGGGCGGGCTGCGACGGGCGGCTGTCACCCGCGCCTCGTGGAGAAGCCGGTGGCGTGCGCGCCTTGGATTGCGCTGCTGGCCGCTGTAACTGGGGAACGTAGTTGCTGCCGGCCGCCCTGATCGCCAGTCGCCGCAGCATGGCGCGCTTGTTCTGAAACCACGTCTGCAACAGGAGGGCCACCGCCACGTTAGTGCTAACGAAAGTGACTACGGGAAGCATATATATATATATATATATATATATATATATATATATATATATATATATATATATATATATATATATATATATATATATATATATATATATATATATATATATATATATATATATATATATATATATATATATATATTTATATATATATATATATATATATATATATATATATAGAGCCTGCACACAGACGATGATGATGATGACACAGAGTGTCATGAGGACAAAGAGACAAGCGAATGATGGTGATTATGATTATGCATGGATGAGAACGATATAAATAACAAACGCCGACACCGATTCGCCCCACTTGGAAGCGGACACCCTGGCCGCCGTAAGTCAAAGTGACGAGGAACGTTGCGTGAAATGTTTCATGCCAGAAACGTGTACAATCTCGGTGCTGCGGCGGCGGTGGTCTATTGGGGCGACAAGTGGTGTCACACGATAATTGACCGGCGAAGTCTGTTCTAAAACTATGTATGGCCCGATGAAGTGTGTTTGGAATGTCTCACAATATATATAGCAAGACGAAACACAAAAGGACGCGTGCCATTCAAAGGAAGAAAAATAAAGACATAAACGAAAAAACTTCGCTCGTAAAGCGCATTTTTTTGTCTTTCGGTAACCATATGCATCAACTAGCCCTAACAGTTTACTATAACGGCAAGCTATGTGGATTACCAACCTGCACAGTCAGCCAACCTTTTAGCATTACTGTGTGGATGCGATGATAATGTATTTAACGCAATGTAATGCTCGTGAATGTCAGGTGAAATGTATGGAATGATACGAAACTCACTGGACTAAATGCACAGTGAGCTTGGTTTATTCTGGGAAGCACGTCTGCAGCACCTATAGGGATGCCAGCGCCACATTAGGGTTAGCGAATGAAAACATCGCAAAACAAACACGCAGGCTGCGTGGATTATGAATTGGCCCGGTGGACACCCACTTTCTGAGGGCTACGGTGTGAATCGAATGAGATTGAAACGTACACCCTAATGCCCGTGGAGGTCTTAATAATTAACAGATAAAATGGAACATGTGTGGTGAAAGTCCGAACGAGATTGAACATGTTGCGTGGATTATCAAAATCAGCCACCATCTGAGGCCTGTTAACGGGTACGAGAATAACTTATGTCCAAGAAGGTCTTTTGGGGGTAAACAAACGAAACAGAGTGAAAGTATTGGACAAAAGAGCAATGTTACAAGCTGCCACTCAAGCGTCGCCAGCGCGAAGTCGGCGACGGGAATGACAGCAGGTTGGTTCGTTCCGCACGCAAGCAGAGACAGTGAAGAGATCGGAGACGTGAGAAAACAAAACAACTTTACTCTAGTGATATTGCAGCACACGGGATCTAATACAACACTTCAATACAACTAACAAAATACATCGACACTGGATAGAAATAACTAAAGAACTAAAGAAATATATAACAGAAACAAGAAATCAGCTTACGAGAGAGAACTATTACAAACTACACAAACTAACAAGAATAGAACGACGGAGGAGAAAGTTCGAAGACATAAACAGGTGAAGGCATACGTGTGATGACCGGCAGCGTTGTGTCCCCGACGATCGGATGCGAGAAGTCGAAGAGAGTTCTGGCACGACTGCGATGTCGGCGGTGTTGCAACGCTGGTGGCTCCGGGAGGCTAGTGCTTGCAGGTGACTTCGAGCAGGTTGAGCTAACTCGAGGCGAAGTCCCGATGTCTACGTTGCAGACGTTAATATCACGTCACAGCTAGACGAACGGCTATGTTTAGGTGGCCAGCCGATACAGAGCCACACTAAAAACTTCTAGAAGAGATGCTTGTTGATCTGTTTCTACACCATCTTGGTCAGCGACTAGTCTGCCTAGCAGGGCAAAATCCTGCGCTTAAATCCCCCTCGTGTCTCCACGCTCTCTTCCTTGGGGACAAGAGACCTCTACCTGGGTCCATCCTTGTACGGGGTATCCTAATCCTAATATGTACGAGGTATCCTAATCCTTGTACGGGGTATACCGCGGCCTTCTACGACCTTGCAGACGTCGCCACGGTTACAAAAGGATTAACTGTCGGCGGCGACGTTCTAAGGAGAGCACCCCCATTTTGCACTTATCGGTTCCCTTTCATGTGCCGCCGTTTCTCGCGGTCAGTCGGGGAGTACGGCGCCCGTTAATTGCCGTGACGCGGTGTCGCCGAAAATAGCCGTCCGTGACAAGCAAGCTGGGCGAGTTCGTGCCGATTCGTTAGGAAAATGCGGCAGCTGAAAGATGACAGACGAAAGCAAGATAATAACTGTAAAAAAAAAACGGACAAGTGACAGCCGTGATGCTACGTATATAAACGACCGCTTTAGACAATGAATCTGGACACTTCCATGAGGTAAAGCATAAAGACATTTAGTATATGAATCTACTTACAATTAGACGCACCATCAATGCCATCGACTCAGAAAGAAAAAAAAACAACGAAAAGTTTACTTTCGCCTTTGAGTCGTCCTAAGCACTAACCACACGTACGCGTTACAACGCGTCAGCGCGTGACGCGTAGACTCGGTGCCGCGCCCTCTCCTATACAGAGGAAGAGCGAGGGTGAGCGGCTACGCGCAACACTCTCTCTACGCGAAGCAGAGCACCCTCTCTCTCTCTCCATACGGAGAGGGCGCGGCGCCGATTCCACACGTCACGCGCTGACGCGTTCTAACGCGTACGTGTGGTTAGGGCTTTAGGTGAACATATAAAAAGACAGTGTGACTTTTTGTTCATTTGCGCAGACGGAAGTTTGCACTGCACGCGCACTGGCTTCATGATCAGCCGCATATACTCTTATTGATTTTTTTTATTACCTTACTCGTGTAGCGTTACGCTCCCTCCCGAGCTTCCTTCCTCCAGACGTAAATCTTTCTTGTGGTACAATACTGGTACTCTTAAGATGGCGACCGCTATGGTCTAAACTATATACCCTTGAATATACTCTGTAGGCACTATACCTCAATCCAGGGTATATCACGGACTCACCCTGATCTGCTTGGCGGAGATGCCCAGTTCGGCGGAGAGTCTCAGCGTCTCCTGGGAGTCGATGAACTGGTGGTCGTTGAACTCTTCCTCCAGTCTGTCCAACTGGTGGCGGGTGTACTTGACACGTGCCGTCTTGTCCGCGCTTTCGTCGGCCAAGGACGGTGGCGACGCCATGTTGGAATGTCAGAACTTCGCGAGGGGGATCCACCTGCCGTTTCGCACGAAGCGTGCCCAACGGAGGGAAGAAGAGATGCCAATTACTTTTACGTTTATGGCCCAAAAAAGCTTGGGTAACTTCAGCAAACACGCAATCTTGGAATGGGCGTGGCATGTTCTTATAGGCAAAGATTGATATGTGGGGTTTAACGTCCCAAAACCACCATATGATTATGAGAGACGCCGTAGTGGAGGGCTCCGGAAATTTAGACCACCTGGGGTTCTTTAACGTGCACCCAAATCTGAGCACACGGGCCTACAACATTTTCGCCTCCATCGGAATTCTTATAGGCAAAGATACAACGGAAAGAAACGTGGCTGAGGTTGAATTCTTGTGCGCTTGGTTATCGCAAAAAAGAGGTACGTTTGACTTGGTATTGTTCATGTTGCTGAACGAGGACGGCGGCTCAAGTAGCTTCGATCTTGACACGTTTCTACGCTTGGCAAGCTTCTCTATAACTTGCTTACTTGGTCTCCTTTGCTCAACCTTCTCATCAAGCAGCTGTGTCTCTGCTTTATATTTTCCAGAATGCCGTTTACTGGATGACTGAATTCAGCCTGTCGCTAGCGCTGAATACACTCGCACAGACGTTAGCTGATCCGCCGTATGTGCATGGCGACCCTTCGCGACCAAGCTTCAGACAGTGGAAAAGCGTTCTAGCTTCTCTAAGAAGCGCCAGAAGTCACCTGCGAAGCAGCCGTGAAATCCGCGCTTGGTCACGTGGTACTGCGCGCCGCAGCGAGCGCAGCTGCGACGTCTTACGCATGCGGGTCACGTGGCGTGAAGTCACGCCGGCCGCACTAGTGGCCCGGACGCCCAAGGTGAACGCGACGCGATTGATCACCTCGGAAGGCGCGGCGTAGTAGTAGAGCGTTCGCTCTAAAGCGTCGATATACGAATGCAACATTCTCAAGAGATGGTCATCTCAGAATCTGATTGAAGATTCTGGAGCATGAATAAACCTTAACTTTACGTTACACTTCGTGCAACGAAAGCACCTTTCAGGCACACTGGTTTTACATAAGGATAGTTCAGTTAGGTGTTGTGCGGTGCGTTTTGGGGGCGAAGCTCCTTATGGGATCAGCCCTGTCTGCCGTATATGGTCACAATATAGAATCGTTGCTATAGTCGAAACATGTGACACACACACACACACACACACACACACACACACACACACACACACACACACACACACACACACACACACACACACACCCTGATGTGCGCTATATTACGAGAACGTGTCGCCCGCATGAGGGCAAGAACAGACTATGGATAATCTATAGATGCGTGTACAACAAAGAAGGACGCAGCGGCCTCTATAACGTGCAGTGTTATTTACGGTTTCCTGCATTAGTGCCCGCATCCTTTTCGACTCATTTATATGGACCACATGGAGGTCGCTGGTTTTGCCGCTATTCTTCTAATTACGGCATATTCATACACGAAATTACACCATATGACACACACTTACAAATAACTACACATCCCACAAAATTACACGATATTTCTTTCCTCAAGATATTTGCTGGTTGCGCGGGTCACACTGCAATACATGAAAAAAGGCTCCTCACAGCTTTTCGCATTTTTGTTTTAGGAAAGGCGTTGCGCTTGTTATTTAAAATTGATCAGAACTATCATGACTCACAGCAATAACTTAAAATTTTTACAGGCTAATCTAGACCATACACGTGATGCCACAAAATTATTGATAGAACACATGACGCAACAACACTTCAATTTCGCCTTCGTGTGTGACCCGCACATCCGCGCAGGCACTGTTCAAGGCATACCACACACCATAACAAAGTTCCACGCACCAAACAATCCTCGCATCATGCTTCTAGTACACAACACTAATTTTGACTTCTTCCCATTGCACGTAACAGATTTCGTTGTTGCAGTAAAGTGTGAAAGCCTTGACCAAACATTAATACTGATTGCTGTGTATGCACCGCCGCAAAGACCTATTGACCCAGTTCTGGATGAGTTGCAATGTGTAGTTTCATTGATTACAGATTGTACTGTCATCATAGCCGGAGATTTCAATTCTAAGCATAGAATGTGGGGGCCAGCTATAGGGGATGTTTGAGGCTCTCAAGTAGTCCAATTCGTGACGGCGAATGACTTAGTCATATTGAACAACCCCAACTCCCCTCCAACTTTCACAACTCCGTATGAAGATTCATGGATAGATTTAACCATGGTTTCGCATGACCTCACTCGCGATGCTTACCATTGGAAGGTTCTCCAAATTCCTATACCTCTCAGACCACAACTACATTGAATTCTCCTTCTCGCAAGCACACACCAGCAGGGCTAAACGATTAACTAATCTAGGAAGAGCGAAAATTCTTAACAAATTAAAGGACGACACTTGGTTCACAAAGATACTCGGCTGCAACATTGGGTCACCTGAAGCCCTAAACATGGTTATAGACAAGTTTTATGCCATATACTCCGCTTTAAGCCAACGTTACTCACGACGCATAACATCGCGTAGTAAATTAGGTAATGGTTGGTGGACACCAGAATTGACTATTTAACGTAAGCGTGTTCGGGCTATGCGACGACGATACCAGCGAACAGCTGACCCCCTCCTTCGAGACATGTATCGCAAATTGTACGTTGATGCATTCTCAACCTACAAGGACAAAATCAGGAAAGCAAAATCATCGTTTGATAAAGACATTTGTGACTTTCTCACTAAGAAATGTTTATATGGTGATGTTTTCAAAACCGCATTTCAAAATTACCACCAAGTAACTTTTCTTCCTCCTCTATAGATTTACCTAACGGCACTCGCACAGCTTCTGTAATTGAGTCCGCCCGGCTACTACTCGATACATTGGTAGTAGTGGACAGCTGTTCTGAAGACAACATGCACCACACTATCATGCGTAACATTGCGGCTAGTCCTTACCCGTGGCATACTTCTGACCCTCCTTTTACAATATCTGAGAGAGAGTGCGCGATGAAACAGGATAATTCACACTCTGCTCCTGGACACGACGGATTAACCTACTCGTTCATTAAAGCATTATTTGAATACCATCCTCAATTTTTATATTTTATCTTCAATACCGCCTTAAGAATCGGACACTTCCCACAGGCTTGGAGAAGAGGGAAAGTAATATTCATACCAAAGCCAGGACGTCCGCTCAATTCGCCTAATGCATATAGACCAATAGTTATGAACTCTGTATTCAGTAAAGTATTAAAAAGACTCTTAAATGCTCGTCTGTATTATTTCCTGCACAATAATAATCTTCTTCACAATAATCAATACGGTTTTATGCACAATAAAAGTGCTACTTTAGCACTATACACACTGCGAAGCAAATTGGCTGCATACAAGGCAGCCAAACTTCCTACCATACTCATATCTCTTGATTTTGTATAGGAGCATTCGATAGTGTTTGGCATCCTGCCGTCTTGAACTTTTTACGCAAGCACAGGTGTCCACAAAACTTGTACTTTCTACTCAAATCCTTTTTATCGAACCACACTGTAACTTTTTCAACCAACGTTGCAGAAGAGACAGTTCGTACAACAATTGGCAGCCCGCAAGGATCCCCTATCAGTCCGCTACTGTGGAACATAGTAATATACAGCTTACTCAATCTTCCCGTGCCACCCGACGTACACATACAGGCGTACGCGGACGATACCATCATTGTTATCACAGATAAGTCAAGACTCCGATTACAAGCAAAGGCTGAGCATGTCCTGGCTTTGGTATATGGTTGGGCACGAGAACAAAAAGTTACCGTAAGCGCCGAGAAGTCGTTCTTCGTGTTCTTTAATAACGGACACATGGGTACATCAAAATGCTGCCCATCTATCCGCATGGATGGCATTTTTCTCAAACACAAGAAAGAAATTAAGATTCTAGGCGTATTATTTGACCCCTCTCTAAATTTTCATGCCCACATTGACTGTATTAAAGGAAAGGCTGAAGTGTCCACGTCCCGGCTCCTCGCATTTGTTAAATCGCACCGTTCAATAAAAAGTACACTCATTAGACGACTCTACCGTCAAGTGATATTGCCCTCTCTCACGTATGCATTTCCGGTATGGTGGCCTATGTTCCCATCGAAATTCATTAGGGCGCGAGTTTTATCAGTTCAGTGAACCGTCTTAATTTCCTTAACAGGTGCATTTTACACCACACGTACGTCATCCCTACAGATTCTCGCTAACGCGCCTCCGTTACCACTAGAGTTGGACAAAGAATCTGCAGAATTTTCCTTATTCATACTCCGGAACGTAACTTATTATGGTGTAAAAACATTCAAACCGGCTGACATACTATATCCATGCAGTCCGTGGGCTCATCACCCCAGTAAAAAATATAAATTTACTTTCACTAAACTCTCACCATCACAAGAACCGGTTATTTTCAAAACAAAATCCATTCACGTATACACTGACGGCTCATACACGTCCTACGCGGCGGGTGCGGCATATATTGCTTTGACAAAGGATGGAAAAATCATAACTGTTAGAAAATTTCAGATCCGCAACGCTTCAAGCGCATACGACACGGAATTAATAGCATTCCAAGAAGCCCTTCATTTAGTTTTTATAAACAACTTTAACACGCCAGCCCACATTTACACAGACTGCCTATCGCTTCTAATGAAACTTTCAAGTCTCACTGATAACGATGAAAGAATTCGGAACATTAAGCTGCTTATTAACCATATAATCTCGTCAGGCAAAATTATAAAATTGTTTCATGTAACTGGTCATATGTGAATTTTGGGAAATGAGCTAGCTGACGCTGCAGCTGCATTAGGAGGGAAATCGGGCTTCGTGCGTTACACGCCAAAATATCTATTCGGTCAGTACGAACTCAGTTTCATAAAATCTTGAATTCATATTGGCACACCCATTGGCAGACTGAGGGACCTGAGACAACGCTATTTCATAGGATCACAAGTCTGTACAA